AGCGGAGAAATCAAACGCTGCCATAATGATGGATTTATAAAATTGTTTGGTGCGCATGTGTATGCTATTTTGTTTCCGGTCGTCTATGAAATTTATTTGCTTCGTTCATGTCCCATCCGATCATTCTGCATATTGTTTGCTTATCAGTCGGTAGGTTCGGACTTTTTTTCGTTGAAGTTGGAAAAATCACACATATGAGATACTGCATCGCAAAAAAGAAGTGCGATTTGTGAATGTTACATATTTTTTTTGATATTTTTTTGATCCTTTTTTTTTCGAATCGATATTATTCGACATTCGTTATAAATATAACAGATATTTGTTGGACGTGAGATGAGCGCTAGCATTTGGCCAACTAGACTTCTGGTCTTGAATTTTTAGACCTTACTTTTTACATAAAAACACATCATCTAAAATTAAAATTACTGTAGACTATTTGCACAATTTTGTAGCCATTTTATTTATGTACTGCTTTGAAGTTGAGGACTTCTGTCCTATTAAAGAAGGGGATTATCTGGTGATGAATACAAGGCACACGGAATTATTAGTAAATAAATGTAGGAGATAAATGTGCGCTAGTTGTTTTTCAGAATGAAAAGGTTATTATTCCCATGGGTTTGGTTGCATTGGCGGTGCCCTGTGAATTTACGTGTGGTATCGGGACTGAATTCGTAGTTATGGGGTATAGATGGCGCAGTTGTCATGCAGTAGGTTGAAAGTTCAACTGTACCTATGAAACAGTCAGTCTTTTCATGATGATTCGTCTTTGCGGCAAACTGGTACTAGCACCTGCCAAAGAATCAAACCCGCCATCAGCTTACTTGCAATCCTTGAAAGATGGGCTGTCGACAGTCTTATTAGGAGGTGGTTCTTCTTGGCACTTGCTACCACTCGAGAATTCAACTTCTCGCATGCTTCCACCTCTCACTGACAACGAATATAAGGGGATCTTGATTTTCTAGGTTTGATCGAGAATGGAGAGAATGACAGTTTGCATACTTTTTGGTGCATATTTCACATAACTGTTAAGTTGCACTTCATTGGGGACTTGTTTTCAGGTACGTTTCGAGAAATGAAAATTACTGTGATACATTTACTTCCATTCATCAGTTATTTGAAGAAATAATGATCTTCTGTAACATATACTGCCACCTTTTTTTTTTGTAATTTATCATCGATTAAACTTTATCCAATTTCACATGCAATTTCATGAACATGATAAACCAAAATAGATTTATCCGAAACAGTAGTTCTTTTTTTTCCCACATCGTTGTTGCGATGCATCTGTACACCGTGCCTATGCGCGGCGCATATTGCTAAGCAGAAGCCTTATGCCTGCTGGCCCACACATAACAGTAAATTTTCTCAGAAAAAGTCTGATCCTAGGTCAGTTATTTGCATTCTAGGAGGTTGTTTCTGAAAGAAATAATGATTCTTTTGTTGTTTTGAGTAGCAAATAGCGCTTGTTTTATGCATAAAAAAATCGGATGTTCGACTGTTTGAGTGGGAAATATGCTATTTTACTGAAAAGAGCGTTCGTTGCGGATATAAATTTATGCTGTTTTGATCGAAATTGTTAGGAGCATACTAGTTTAAGCAATCATCGAAAAAGGAAGCCGTCATTAGTTTTGTTTTGGTATGCTTTGCCACATGAACTACTTCGGATTGCCTTTGTTCTCCTAGATAGTGTTCTGAAGATGGTTGAATTGACTTCTTCGGTTCCTTCGAATGGATTGTTTGCTGAATCAAAACAGTCAAAGCGATACAAAATGTCATCCGGTTCGAAAAGAGCCTTTGAATACAGCGTTTATACACATTATATGTTTTCTCATATTCAAGCATGTGAAATAAGCATATTTGGGGCACTTCTCACCTCTCTCGTGACCCTCCCGTTTTAATATCATCATTCACATATGCTTGAGCCTCGTGCACGAAAGCATAAAAGAAAACATGTAAATTTTTTGGCGAGAAAGTGATTTTGAAAAACAGGCAGTATGGAGCTGGAATTCAGCGAAGTTGTTCTGTGTTCTTGTATGAGTTAAAGGTTTCAAATTGAGTTTTAACGCATTCCCAGGCCGGATTAAAACCAGTTGGATTAAAATCAGGCCGGATTAAAAGGCAGCCAGTACGGGAATGCGTTTTGCGCAGTCCCATCCAGCGAACGTTTGCCTGCTGAGAGTTTTCACTGCTTTACACTTTGTTCCGTGCAAGAAAAGTTGAAATATTGTCTGGTCCCAAAATTGCGAAATCTCGCACGAAAAATTCACGTGTCGGTACGTGAAAGCTGAATTTAAAACTTTGGACGGCAAGCATCCGTCCAAAATTTCAACTTCCTAATTTTATGGCTTCCGATTGATTTTTAAGCCAAAACTTTTATGTGTCTTACGTGGCAGGCATACTTGGGAACTAAATCTGAATTTGTGAGGCCTCTGCATAGGGAGGAAGTATCCTCCTGAAATTTTCAGCCTCCTAGTTTTGGTGGTCCCCAAGATTGCTCCTCCTTCTCCTCCCATCAAAACTTGCAGAGGCCGTACTTGATACCCGGGTGTGCGGCAAGGCTGATTTTAAATTTGCAAGGTCGTACGTAGGTTGGGGTCACTGCCGTAAAGGTTTAGCTTCCTAGCCTTCGTGATTCCCGAAATAATTCTTCCTATCAAAACTTACTCGGGATCGTGCGCAGTACCCAAAAGTAAGGGAAGGCTAAATTTGAGGCTGCGGGGGTGTACTTGGGCGGGGACGTTACCGCAAAATTTCAGCTTCCTATCGTTATGGTCCCCGAGATAATTTCTCCGCCAAAGTTTTGACGGGGCCATTATGTGATATTCGAGTGCGAGAGAGGGCTGAATTTACATTTGCGAGATCTTACTTGGGCAGAGATCATTACCCTAAAAGTATAGTTTCCTCGCTTTTATGGTTCCCGGGATAATATTTTTCCCCGCCAGAACTTTCCACGGGGCCGTACGCAGTACACAGGAGCAGGGGAAGGCAAAAATTAAATTTGGGCGGGGAATACTTCCCTAAGTTTTCAGCTTCCTAGCTTGTGCGGTTTCCGAGTTGAAAGTTGCGGACACGATGTATCGGACACACGTACACATACACACACATATACACAAATGCACACGCGGACTCCGTGACAATATGCTTATTGTGCAGCTGTTCCAAACCAGAAAACGCATAATAAAACAAAAATACGTGCAGGGCTAGAACATATTTTGAGACTCTGTGTCAATGATACAAATCCAGATTTCAACAATCTTGCGTCAGAAGATCAAGCCTGGTGTTTACATTAGCCTGCTGTTGTTTATTTCTTACTAAATGAATAGCCCAACACAAACTGTTTTTTTTTGCATTTTTGAATGTTGTGCGAATGATCATGTGTATGTGTATGTATGTGTGTGTGTGTCCAGAAACAAGTGAACTCTGTCATCCACTTTCAACTTAGCAACGGGGAGGCTATGATGTAACACTACCGTCCCAGTCGACGCCCCTTTTCCTCGCATGCATGAAGAAAAACTGACACATGAGTTGCACGTGTTAAACTGCAAAGCAACAACCACTCATATTTTCAGCGACCTGATTAGCGCAAAAACGCATGATCGCACGGACAAGCCTGATGCGTTGCTACCTACAGGTTTTATTTAGGGATGGCCCGCGAGCTTAAGTAAGTATATAAGTCAAGACCGCGTCTTGCCAAAGGTTGCCCATGCCTACTCTAGGGTAAAGCTGAACACTTGCTTGAATACAGCTGAGAATTGGTTACTGATCAGTACTCCCGATATCCTGGAATGTCTGATTGCTTCAGAGTTTCGAGTACATTTTTGGTGATGTGCATAAGTGTGGAACAAGTTGAAAATTTGAAGATACTCAAACAGATTCATGCAAGTGTATGGGCGGGTTTAGTGTCCTTGCCTTCGAGGTTGAACTAGACTCGCTGGAAATGAGCATCATATTTTGCTTGTATCAGAAAAACGTGGCTAAAAAAAACAACATATTTATTATGTATAACTCATACGATAACCTCAGAATTCATATGTAGTTTATGAATTAACAGCAGCACGATGAGGCGGAAGTGTTCGAGATGCATGCACGGAGTTTGGCTGGGTTCACCAATTGCTCGACAGTATTTTCTAGCGCATTCTTAGTAATCCACTGAAGCGTTCGCAATCAATATATCGTGATTCTTGAATAAACATTCATTAGTACATTACAGGTAACAGGAAAATGACGAAACTGAACGTTGATAAAACTGTAATGAGATGGGCGCAATCGTACACCTTTCTGAAACTTTGTGGACGCAGAGTTCAGGCCTTGCGTAAATGAAAGTGATAGTATGTGCTCTTTGTGGCAGAAAAAACGCACTCATAAAGTTATGAGTATCCGAAGTATAAATTTGGTTTGATTCAGTGAACCGAAACGTGGCTGTGCTCAATTAACTCCGCTGATAAAGGACATACCATCTCCTTTTTCCACCCTAAGAAGTAAAAGTCCAGTTCACGCCCGATCTGCTTTTTCCCATCAGCTACCATTAACAAAAGTGCTTTCAGTTGTACCTCATCGTACCGCTTTTTTGGAGAATATCTGATACGCGAAATAATCCCCGTAAATTGCAAGCAGAAAAAAGGTTTTTTTACTAAGTAATGAAGCATATGTACTTTTAAACAATACAATTTGCCAGGCTTTTCACGTACTGCCTGGCATGAAAACTTTTTAGTTAAAGATAAAAGATAAGTACAGTTTTTCGAAATTTGCAAAAATTGTTTTTTTACTAAAGTCCAAAAATTTTCTCACACCAAAAAAGTCTGACTAATATTCCTATTAATAGCCCACAGTGAAGAATCACAGGAACTAAAATTTCAAGTGGGCATTAACAAGCTTTACCTTAAGTTACTTATTTTACTTTACAGCTGCTGATTAACTCATCGAAAACCTGCATTTGATTATTACACCAGGAGTGTCTAAATAAGAATCAGTCAGTTAATAGCTCTTTGAGAATTGCAAAATTACGAGAATGTCCTCATGTCGTGTGCTCGATTCTGACTGTTATTATTCTTGTGATGTTCTTGCTTCGTCCACCATGCTGGTTCACCTTCGCCAACAAATGCAAACATTGTTGTACAAGCAATCACAATACCGCAAATGATAAGCAAAATGATGGACCTGTAAAGTCGAAATGTGCGCAAGACAGAATTTGATTTCCACGGTTAAGAGTACCCGCGTTAACAAGAATAATAAGACCGCTTCGATTACAAATGTATAATTTCCTTGTTAGTGATGATATTAGGATGCTAATGTACGCAAGTCCGTTTGATCCTGGGCTAGGAATAGTGGATAAAGATAAGAACAGTGAAAAAAACTTCTCGCCTTTTGAAGGTACCCGTCTAACTAGTTTATTTTAGCCTGGGCCATTAGAATCCAGTAAAGCCGCATTCACATGCATACACCAAAGTTTGGTTTATTTTGTAATAATTTATGATTACAAAAACTTAGAATGCACCATATCGGAGGTTGCTGTTTATGTCGGAAATCAAGTTGCTAAAAAAATGCACAGCTTCAACAAGCTACTCTGTTTGGCCGCTATCTTTCGTAAAAATAGTCGACCGCGAACTGTTTTAAAGTAAACGTTACCATTGGTGAGGTGTATTGTCCGGTGCCATAGCTTCAACGAATACGGGCAAGACCAAAATGCCTAAACTGTTGATCAGCGAAAGAATAGCAAGGATGAAATGTGCATGCTGTTGCGATACCTGAAAGGTGTATGCCATAGGATCTTGCATTTGCAGATAAAGTCTTCAAAATCACCTTAAATTTGTTGCACCGATCTAACACTACTATATGAATTGGCATAAGTATGCTGTCGATCGTTTGAACAAGAAAACCGCAAATGAAATTCATGAGGGTCCCAACTACCCACTTTTTCTGTTTCAGATTTGTGTTATAATGAAACACTTAGCAATGGAATTCACAATGACAAATAGTGATTTCAGAAAATCCTGCAGATAATAACTACTTGAGATCCTTGTACCGCATGAAATTCTGTTGACTAAAGTCCTATAGTGAGAAGCGAAAAAGCATGGTACCAAAACTTCCAAATCTGGCGAACCCTACACTTCCACAGTCAACACAGTAACAAAAATTTGTATTTTAATCGATCACAAAACGCTAGCTTACCAGTGTTGCACTTTTCACGGGTCCGACCCACATCAGTCCACTGAATGCCACGGCGGCAACATAAGCAATTTCAGCCAGAAGTACCATATTGCTTGGTACATAAGCAAGACATACAAATGATAGCGCCATAACACCTACGGAGAGAACACTTTCGCGACTTTGTGAGGAAAAATGGAATATGAAAAGATGTGCACTCTCAAAACGCCAGAGAGCTTCAAAGCATAACCCCAGGCTGCAATGCACTAAGCTTGCCGATATGAATATACGTTTTTGCGTTGAACTTTCACACCGCTAACAGTAGGAATGGTTTCTGCGCAGCGATTTAACCCCCGGAGAATTATGCTGGTTGTGGTTGGGCCTTTATGCAGGAGGAAAGGGCGTCGGCTGGAGCGAAAGTGTTGGAGTATGGGGCTGCGTGAGACTCCAGCACGCATGACTACGAATTTTGCATGAAACCCGGTCGCTTTATTCGTGAACGGCCGTTCATCGAAAAAATGCAAACTTGAAGAGAGCGGAGCGCGATTACGAAATCTGCAGCTTGCACTCAATTTTGAGTTTGTGACAAAAACCCAGGCTGGAACGCACCAGCCGAGCCGGTGCGATCATGCGTTTTTGCACCAGACTTGAAATA